GCTAGAGAGGAAAAGAGAAGAGGTAGTCGAGACCGAATGAAAATCAAAAGGGAGGGTCCTGGGATAGAGGCTAGAGGGAGGGAAGAGGAAGCACTGGGGAACAATGTTGCCAGATTATACATCGTGTGCGTGTGCAGATACGTGCCAACAAAGCTTGTGATGGTGTGTAATTGTCAGGCACCAATTTAAAAATGGGGGAAAAATTTATAAAAAGGAATGAAAAGGGGAAAAAATACATTTTGAGTGAACCAATTTTGGTGTTTAATTGATCACAAGTGGATTTTCATGGAAGAAAATACTGAGAGGTGCTCTCAGAGAGAAGGAAAAACAGGGAGAAGATGTAGTTTGAGGAAGCAAGGAGCAGAGGAGGGCAGCAGGGTCGGTGTGCAGCACTTCCTTAGGATGTGTTGAGCGAAAATGGACAACAAAGAGGGACGAGAGACGAACAACGCACAGCCACAGACCCAGCTCGAACGAGCACTTCTTAGAGACGGCACGAGGGCCCATGTCACGAGGTGGAGTGTGGACAGAGTGCTTTGGCAGGCACCCGTCTTGGCCTGTTCACCAGAATGCAGGCTTCAGAGGAGCCGAGTCATACACGGTGTGATCTCCGACACTGAACAGTCGAGCTACGGATCAATACCAACGGCAACCAGAATCACCACCCTTCAGAAATGAAACGATAAGCTCTTAATAACCTAGGGGTGAACAGGAAGAAGTAGAAATTGGAAAATATTTCAAATTGAATGCTAATAAAAATACTAGAAGTCACAGCTTGTGACTGCAGCAAAAGCTATTATTTCTATGAAAGAATGTATTGCCTTAAATGTACGCTGTGATAGGTAGAAAATGAACTTTAAAAACTGAAGAAGAAAGAATAAGGTACCAGTAGAACATCACCAAATAGAAAACAAGACATGCCACAAGGTAGGGCCAGAAACTGGCTCTTCCAAAACCTGTGGTGTCAGAGAGAACACGTAGGAGTCCAGCACACCTCGGTGTCAAAACGAGAAAGATGAGTTAGAAGAAAAGGCCGACCACGCGTGCCAACATGGACCCTGCAGAGAGTTTAACAAGCTGTGTCTTTTAGGCATGCAAGATGGGTATCCATTTTTAAAAGTTTGTTGGTAAACTTTGCCTCGTTTTTTTTTTTTTGTACTGAGAATTGAACCCAGGGATGCTTAACCACTGAGCCACATCCCCAGCTCTTTTTAAAATATTTTATTAGAGACAGAGTCTTGCTAGTTGCTCAGGGCCTCGCTAAGTTACTGAGTCTGGCTTTGAACTCAAAATCCTCCTGCCTCCGCCTCCCAAGCCATTGGGATTACAGGCATACGCCACCACTCCTGGCTAAACTTTGTCTCATTTTTAACAAAATATATTCAGTACAGAAATAAAGTATAAAATTCAAAACTTAGTCATCAACTTTTTTAAACTAAGTAAATTAGGAATAGATTGAAATTTTTCTTATAAAGAGCCTCTACCAAAACTACTATAGCAAATGTTAGATTTAAAGAAATGCTGGAATTTTTCCTTTTGATGTGAACAAGACAAAGTTAATCACTCTTTGCCACTTACTCTTCTTTACATTGTAAGTTTACACGAGGTGTTGGAATGAACAAATGAATACAGCAGTTTTGCTGGATACAAGGCCATCACATGAAGGTTTATTCGAGTTTTTATTTGCTGGCAACAAAGAGAAAACTTTAAAACATAAGGAATTGTGAACAAAAAGAAGAAGAATAGCCAAAGTGCCATCATTGTCCTGGCTCCAGGATAGTACACAGACCACAGAAGAGTCCAGAAATGGAGCTTCATGTGTACCCTGGGTACATCTTTCAAAGTGCCTTTGCAGACCCAGGGAAAGGTGTTCTTTTCAACATATCATGCTGGACATAGCGGGGTGACCCCTACTTTATATGGTATAAAAATGTCATTTTTCTAGGTGGATTGTAGAGCTTTGAAAAGCAAAGCCTTAAACTTCTGGAAAGTAGTCTTGTGACCTTATATAGAATAAGTTTCTTAACTACCTTTAAAAATTTAATTAAATGGACTTCATTAAGAATTAAGATGGTAACCTTTTAGAGAGAAAAAAGGAGAATTTGCTAGGGTTCAGGATACACACCCCTGTGTTTGTATATCCTGTACATTATATGTATCCTGTGTGTTGTAAATGAAAATATGTCCAGTGTATTTATACACATATGAATCCCATTGGTTATTTCTCCGTATATAAATTAAGGATTCAACTCACACAATCATAGAGGTTGAAGAGTCTCACTGCCTGCCCCTCAGCAAGTCAGGGAGCCCGGGGTGCAACCCCCAGTCCAAGAACAGAAGCCTGAGGTTGAGTACAAGCTGTCGGGCAGAGAGCTTCTCGACTCTTGTATTCTTTCAGGCCCTCGGTGGGCTGGTGATGTCCATTCACACTGAGGAGGACACCTTCTTCACTCAGTCCAGTTCAAACACTGCCTCATCTGAAACCTTCATGGACACGCCTAGAAGTAATGCTTAGCCATATCTGGGCATCCAGTAGCCAGTCAAACTGATATAAAATTAACCATCGTGAATCCACCCTTTGTCATCTTGGCCCATATGTATCTGCATAAACCATACTGAATCTCCAAATCAGGACAGTAACAGGGTCATAATTCTGCCTGATGTGAACCTCTGAAAACACACCAGCCCCTTCACCAGAAGAGAAGGTAAAGTCCTTGAGTGCTGTTTACCCATGTCCTCAACATCCTGTAACTGAAGCACTTGGTGTAAAGTTAACAATACTCAAATACAATACTATAGAGTCAATACACCTTAGGTTGCATGATGAGAGGACGGAAGTAGAGAGAACTGAAGTCATTTTCTGTGCCACGCACGCACGAACATGGAAGAGGAGGAGAGGAAGTCCTCATGACAGCCGTGGTGACCTGTGTGATTGGCTGTGTACTCCATGCCCCTGCCTTCTATAACCCTGTGTGTAGAGAAGGCAGAACTGTATCCAGAGTGAAGAGAAACTACTGGCCCTTCCTCCATGGGAGCAGTTCATTGTCATCAACACCACAATGCAGCTCGTGAATCCTGGGGAATGAGCACTCGGGGCTCCCCAGCCAGATGGGCCTTTGAGAGTGGGAGTCTGTGTTGCTGAGCCCATGCATAACCTCCATCTCTGCCCCCATGGCCACTGGTCCATGAGCCCGCAGGGTGGTGGTAGGGGTAGCTGGGAGGAGGCTGACTGCAGCCACCGTCTTCACTTGATCATTACAGTGCTTCTTGCAGAGTCTCCCTTCTGTGAACATTCACACGAGGCAGATGCCTCCTTTTTCCCATTCAGAGAGCTCTGTGTATAGCTCCTCACCAGATTTCCTTGTCACCAATTTTTCAATCATGTTCTTTCCAAGTCTCCTGCCCTCCAGCTAGACCATGCATTGGTTTGTGATCACACGTGGCCATTCCACCTCACTTAAGTGCCCTGCTGAAGCTCTGCCACTGAGATTCCCCTTCATTAGGCTCCTCCAGGGGTGTCCCAGAGAAGGCTTGTAGGGTTGCCGTTGTTGATCTCTAAACCAGGGAGAGAAGGCCGTGGAGCAGGAGGGAGGCCATGCGTGGCATCTGGGCCACTTCATCTAACTAGGTCTTCAGGGCCTTCCTGGGCCCATCACTTACATACCACTTCCATTGATGCTAGAGCCCTGTGCATGCCCACCTTTGAGGCCTGGTGGCCTGTTAACACCCAATTTATGACAGCAGTTCAGTGAATAAGTTGGTGGCCCATGGTTTCACATTTAATCTCCACTTAGGCTCTGCTCAGGCCACAGTCAGTTTCTCAAAAGAAGAGAGGTTAACTGCAGAGAGTGGCAGGGCTTCACCCCAAAATCCTCAAGGGCTTATAGCGAAGGAGCAGCCAATGGCTCTAGACAGCATCTCTGGCCCCATGGACATTCCACACACTCCCAGGCGTTGTGGTCATGTGGCCCACGTAGTGCTATCTGGACCTGTTGCACAGCCTTCCATTCAGGCCCTACTCAAATGTGGCAGCTTTTTGGGTCACTCCGTAACACCTAAATGAGAAGTATGCTGTCTCCAAACCCAGAGTCCCCAGGCCTCATGCCAAGCCTTGCTCCCCATGCCTGTTGGCATGGGAGGGACTTGGTGCGACAGTGTACCCTTCACCTTCCACCTGGGATCTTAGCATGCCGGGGCCCCAGGGCCCTGGAATGCAGGCTGGTGGAAGGCCCCAAGGCTATTGGGTTTCCCTCCCATGCTCTGACACACATCTTACCAATAAATCTCCAGCAGTTGCTACTTGCTCACAAGCTGCATGAGGAAGCATCACAAATGGCTCAGTGTAGTGCCTTGTGCGGGCAAAGGCAGCCAAGATCCTGCAAAGGACATCATGCCAGAGGCCCAGGGAGCTGATGTCCCGAGGTAGGGCTGTGAGGTGCAGCTGGCCCTCGGCATCCCTGGACTCCACATCCTCAAATTCAACTTACTGTGGGTCAAAAATATTTGGAGGAAAATTGTGTCTGTATTGAACATGTACACCTTTCTTGTCCTCGTTCCATAAAACATACAGTGTGACGGTCATTTACCTAGCAGTTCTGTTGCATTAGGTATTACAAGTCATCTAGAGTGTGTAGAATGCGCGGGAGGGCGTGGCAGGTTAGAAGTAAACACTGCAGCATTTGTCTAGGGACTGGAGCAGCCAGAGTGTTTGTGTCTGGGGGCTCCTGGGACCCAGCTCCCTTGGGTACCAGGAGATAGTTTATTCTAGTCCTGTATTCCATAGCTAGGGAAATAACCGCAGGGTGGATTTGGGGACCTACTGGCCCACTGTGAGATGGACCTGAGCTAAAACACCATCAGTCCCTTGATTTCCATTAGCCCCTCCCCTGACTAGTGGACCGCAGTGATGTAGGGGTCTTCTGGAACAGGCAGCAGTTCAGAACCAATGTGCAGTAGCTCCCCAAAACACACACACACACACACACACACACACACACACACACACAAAGTCTGCTTATTCCTTTTCCCCATTGTGCAGTTACCCTGGTAAAAGGCCTTGGTCCCTGGGGAAGGCTGGGAGGAGTGATGAATGGCAACATCCTTTGTCAAGGAATAGTGGGGACAGGGCCTCCCTCACTCAGGGGATTCTGGGCCTGTGAACTCGCTCGGGTTAGACTTTTGCTCACTTGACAGAACTTCTCTGTTTCCACAGCTCTAAGAATGCTAGGCTTCCCTGTCTGACTCCTGGGAACACCATGATCAGCTAGCCAAGGTCAGAGTTGTGCATGGATCAAACTTCTGTTACTGCTTTGACTCTGCCATCCATTACGGTAACTGTGCCCACCTTTACTTTGGCATCTGGGTACCACCCCTTGGCCTCTGCCACCCCTGTATGCGTGCATTTGGTTCTCACTTGGTTATAGCAGTTCCCATTTCCAGGTCTGGCCTGCATAGGAGAGCCACCCCTAAGTTCCTCAAGGATGTCTGGGTTCTCCTCAAAAATATCTCTGCAGTCACGGTGGAGGTGTGTCTTCGGGGCCCTCACAGGTGGGACAGTTGGGCCTTGAATGGCAAATCCACTGGAGCACTCCTGCCACAGTCCGGCTGCAGCAAAATAACCAGGGGGTGACGAGCAGCTTGTGTACCTTGATACAGCAGGAGTGGGAGCCGTTTATTGTAGGACAGGAGGGGTATATATACATTCCACCCAGCTTATCTTAATTAACATAAACTAGATACAGCAGTCAACCAATAAGGAATCTCCACACTTAATGGCTCGCTGGCGTTACTTCACAAACCACTCCCTCTGCAAAATGCCAGGTGCCATCTTGACTTGTTTACAGACTCTAACACACTCCAACCTCCCAAACCTCTGAACCCCTCCTCTGCATCAAAGCAAAGCAGGTCCAGTGTTCCCGGCCCTTGCTTCAGGAGCCTGTCGGTAGATTCTGCCTGACTCAACCTGTGTGCCTTACGCCATTGTCCACGTCCTCATGGCCTTCCCCCATGGTCTCTGAATTTCCATCTGTGTGAATTAGGAAGTGAAGTCATCGTTTTGGAGTGTACCTCATGGGTCATTATTTGTGCCTCAAATTTAGGGGACTGCAGCCCTAATAAGGGGTCTAGAAGCAGAGGGGCATTGAAGGTGGGTCCTGAGGAGAATGAGCATCATCCTGCTATGGCACTGCCTGAGGTGGGAGGGGTCATGGTGCCCCCAGGCAGCGCAGCAGTAGTCCTCTTGAACATGTGCGAGGCCACTTCTGCTGGCAGAGGCTCATCAGAATATAGGGGCCCAGGGTCCCCAGCTTCACTGGAACCCTTCCTACAAGTCCCCATGATAACTTCAGGATCTCTTTCCTTCCCAATCAAAGCCTTCCCTGTAAAGGTGGATGCCCGCCAGGTGGGGAATTAAACCTGCACTGTGAACCAGCCAGTCCCAGGGGGGGATTCTGCTTTTGATTTTGAGCAGTCTCAAGCCTGCAGCTGCAGGAGACCGAAGGCTCATCCAGGCACACATACATGCTCTCGGGTCATTCATGCAGGGCCTGACCTCACCCTTTTCTTTCCCCAGTTGGTCCAGTGACATAAGAAGCGACCAGCAAATCTCAGATCTGCTGATTTGGGAAAACTGCTTGGAATTGTGTGCAATCACCCAGACCCTTGCTTCTTGCGTGTGTCTGATCAGGGGGTGCAGTGGTAAGATCCTGCAGTCTCTACCACTAAGTCACTCTGTGGACTGTCTGCTCTCTTTACATCCTCGGCACCTTTAATCAGGTTAGAGAGCCCATTCCAGAATCAATTCTGAGTGCTCTTCCTTGAAATTCTGCTGCTCCTCACAATCCAGATCACTAGTATTCAGGGGTCTCCAGAGGATCAGAACCAATGGGACATACCTAGAGACAGGGACATAGTGTAAGGACTTGGCTATTCGATTGCCTGAGCTGACAAGCCCAAGATCCACAGCAGGCAAGTGGGAGACTCAGGAGGGGCAGTGATGCAGCTCCAGCCCCAGGAGGAGCTGACGTCTCGTCTCAGGTCAGAAGGCAGGAAAACGGTCCACTCCAGAGAAGGAGGCCAGCCTTTGTGTCCCTCTGGCCCCCAGAGGATTGGATGGGGCCACCCCTACTGGCAGGGCACTGCACTTTGCTCAGTCCAGAAATTGAGTGTTCATTTTGTCCAGAAGCACCTTTGTGGACAGCCAAAATGATGCTTGACCAACTATCTGAGCAACAGTTAGGTTGCCCCCTAAAAGGAACCATCACGGTACCTTGATGCAGTGGAGTGCTGACGCAGGTGACCTTAGGGAGGGGCGGGGGGCGAGAGGAAGGGGTGCACCCGCGTCAGCAGAGACGCAGACCTTGCCTGGCACTCTGCGCATCCAGGCCCCGTGTTAGCTTGCCTGCAGCCCGCTGGACCAGCCATCTGGGAAGAGCAGGACTGTCAGTCATAGTTAGTAGTTGTGGATTAAATTGTCTCCCCCCAAGTTCATGTGATGAAGCCCTAGCCTTAATACGTCAGAACGCGACTATCTTCAGAGACGGGCTCTAGAAAGGTGATTGAAATGAGGTCGTTAGGGCAGCCCTGACTCAGTCTGACTAGTGTCAGAAGCGACCGGCACACACCAGGTGCATAGAGAGATGACCATGTGACAGACAGCATGCAGGAAGCCACCTTCAAACCAAGGAGAGAGGCCAACAAGGAAAGCAACCCTACCAACGCCTGGATCTTGGACTTCCAGACTCCAAAACTATGAGAAAATAGGTTTCTTTTGTTGAAGCCATTAGCTTGTTTTGTTATGGCAACCCAAGCAAAGTGACGCTGAGTACACACTGCTCAGTATTTGCTGAAGATTGGGTCAATAAAATGCTTTTTCCCTGGCCCTCTTTTCCCATAGCTCACAGCTGCTGAAGGGAGGCAAACTTGTAAGTAAAGAAGCTGGTGGGTCCCAGAGTGTAGGAGCAGGAGCTGCCCAGGAAAGGGCAGCTCATAGGTAGGTGTGGGCTGGGAGGGCGTTCCAGGCAAGGAGCCAGTGCGGGCATCAGCCTCCAGCCAAGAACCACACCTCTGAGAACCACTGAGTGGTTTGCTACGTCCAACAGGCCACGTGTGGGGGGTGTGGGAGGAGGGCTTGAGGTTTGGGCAGCACCTGTGCCCACCCACAGCAGGGGCTGTGCTGGGGCTAGTGCACATAGGGGACACCCGTCCAGGAGAGATTTCTGAGGCCGAAGGGACGCCACAGTAGGCAGCCGCTGAGGCTGTGTTCCTAATTAGCTGGGTTGGCAGGTGATTTAGCACCTCTGAGCATCACTGTCTTAAGTCAAAGGAGTCACGTGAGGATTAAGCCTGATTGTTGTTTATGTAAGCCGCTTCACTCTTAGAAGATGCTCAGCAACTTGCAGTCTGCTGGGGCTCCTGCAGAGTGGGGTACAGGAGTAAGACCCAAAGAATACTGCCTTGGCAACGGAAGGGAGAACTGGGCTGGGATTGGCTCCCACCCACCCTGCTCCATCTGCAGGTAGGGTCCATGTCTTCCTCTCAGCTTTTATCCATATCAAAGGCCTGTTCATCCCTTCAAGCCCCACCATAATGCCCTCTTCCTCCAAGAAGTCTTCCAAGGAGTGGGTGCACCTTGACCTGAATGTCTGCAGATCTCTGGAACATGTGCCCACTGCTGTAGGTGGTCTCCTGTCAGGCGCCAGGCAGGAGATGAGCCTGACACTTGCAAGAAACAGTCATCAGGTCACTACAGCCACAAGAGTAGTCTCAGCAGCCCAGCATGCCTCCCACACGGCTGTGCTATGGTGACACCTCGGCCTGCTCAGCTGGCCTTTCATCCCTTCATTAGGGCAGCCCTGACCCAGCCTGACAAACACCAGGTGCCAGGGCATGGGCCAGGTGCTGGGACTAGACCACCGTGCTCTCCAGCTGAATCATCAAAGAGATGCGAGTGCAGCTGTGACAGGCGCCCAAGTGACACAGGTCCTGTGAGGTGTGAAGTGGTCCCCGTTACTGCCCACATGTCTGCCCTCTGCGCCCACTGAACTCCACCAAGGATGTCTGAAAGCTCACTTATCCCAGACGTCCAACCCCACCCTCCTCACCCGCTCCCCGGGACCTTGAGACAGAAACCCCCTCCAGCCTTCCTGAAGGTGCCCCTTCTCCCCCATCCTTCTGGCACAATGAAAGGACCCACCTGTCAAGGCCAGGCCCTCCCCTTCACCCGCACAAGCACCTGATTCACAGGCAGTCCTCCCCTCTCCTTCTGTCTAAAAAGACCTGTCCCACATGCCCTTTCACTCATCATTTATCCCACTTGTCTTCAAGAATTTGCATTTCCCTAAAAGAACTCTGAAAAAAATTTCTGTCAACATTTCAAGTTGATAAATAAATTTTTCCATCTCAAGTTTTTAGTTGCAAGTAACATAATTTTCAGCAAATGATATACTTCAAAGTAGAACTATTATATCACTTTAAATGATTTCAATAGAATTGAAATATATAGAAATGTGTTTCCCACCATAATCTATTCTGAAGATGAACATACTCTCGTAATGTTTAGAAACAATGTTTTAATTTTTCTTCTAGTATCTGCATTTTCATTCTACTTCACTCAGAATTGTATCCTAATGAAGTGTTTTTGTACTTAAAATCATACAGAATATGATTACACATCCAGACTAAATTTTGACCACAATAGAATTAAATTTAAGTCTATAAGAACAACAACAAAAAAATACTTGGAAACGTCTGAACATTTGAAAATTAAAGAGTACATTTATACATAACCTGTGAGTCAAAGAAGAAAATGCAAGGCAAATTGGAAATATGTTGACTTGAATAAGGAAAAACAATATACAGACATTTTTGCAATACAGCTAAAGCAGTGCTTAAGGACATTTGAGCTTTAAATGCTGTTATAAGAGATGTTTAAAGCCAGTGATCTAAGTTTCTACCATTAGAAACTGAAGAAATGAAAACAGATGTAATACAAAATAAATACACTAATAACAGCAGAAATTGATGAAATAGAAAGTGAGCAGACAATGGTGAAAATAAGTGAAACCAAATGCTAGTTCTTTGAAAAGATCAGTGAAATTGGTAAGTCTCCAGCTCAAGGAAAAGAACCATAAGTTTTCAACATCAGCAGTGAGAGTTAGGACATCACTACAAGTCCTACAGTCAAGAAAAAATATCATGAACAACTTGGATGAAATTATTTCTGTGAAAGATCTGAATTATTAAGATGGACACGAGAAGAAATAGAAGATCCGAATAGCCCTATATGTATTAAAGAAATTGAATTTGTGGTTAATCTTAGGACTTTATGTCCCTCTAAAGCTTATCTCACCTGGCAGCCAGTGGTCTAGAGTGCAGCTGTGTCATCCCCCTATCCCAAAATTCCTTAGTGGCTACTCCCCAGTAGGGCCTTGGAGGCCATGTAGGATCCAGCTGCTACCTGCCTCTTGCCACCCTTGTCTTAATCATCATCCTTTCCTGCTCTGCCTCCTCCCTCCCTCCCTCCCTCTCCTCCCCATCTTCCTCTTACCCGCCCCCACACCCTATTTGCCCCAGTAGTTCTCTGGTGGCAGTACCCTCTACCCCCACCAGGGGGCACTTGGGAATGTGTGGGAGTTTGAGTTGTCACAGTCAAGGGTTATAACTGACATTTAGTGGGCAGAGCCCAGGTGTCAAACCTCCAGCAATGCCTGGGAGAGTGAGGAATCACCAAGTTGAGGATGCCAGTAGAACACTGAGTCTGGCCTGAGTTTGCTCACTTTCTGCTCTGGAAGTTAGACATGCCCTTAGCTCTGATTGTAGCCACCTTTCACCTCACCCACCTGGCTAATTCTGACTCAATTTTAGGGCTCTACTTAAGTGCTGCTTTTTGGAAAACTTCCTGGACAAATGCCCAACGAATTGACTGCCTCTGCACCACCCCCCACCCCCTACCTTTTATTAAATAGAAGTCAAATTCAGTTCTAGGATCAGAGACTTTTAATTTGAATATACTCTGAAAAACACTAAGCAGGGGGGAGGAAACTCTAATATTTACTCTGTCGCCATGGTAAACCCTCTCCACTCTAGAGAGGCACTCTTTCCTGCTCTCCGTCTTCCCTGGTTCTGAGTGGTTTCTCCAGAGCTGCTGGCTCACACCTGGGCCCCGCAGGCTGTAGTAGCTCCCGGCCCCGCTCTGCACTCCTCCCCTCCCTCCTCGTCCCCATTCATCTTCGCCCTGTGTATTCTGTCTGCTGTCTTTCTGTCCCTAGCCCAGCATTGCAGAGCTCCCAGTGCAGAAGCCCCGCTAGCTGTGGGTCTTCCTCCCCTAAAGAAGGTCACGGGAGGAGACCAGGACCCATGCAGCCCCTTCCGTGGGGGCTTGCAAGGACCGCGTAGCCCCGGCTGGAGGCTCGTGATTGTTTTAGATTTCACACTGGTGGTTACGGGTTGTGGTCCACTGAGACCTGAAACCCTGGAAGAAGCAGAGCTTACCTGCCTGTTGTCCTTGACTTGCTGCTTTAAACATGGCTGAGTCTAAAGACTTGTCAGTCAAGCAAAAGGATTAGCCTCACCCATGTGAAGGGAAAATTGGGAAGAAAAAAAAAAAAAAAAACCTTGTCTGAACTTGAAAATGAAAATGCTGATGTGGTTTTTATTCCAGAAACATATCTTACTGATTAAGCGCACAGAGAGCTACTGGCTCGTGGGTGGGCCAGCTGTAGTTGGCTCCCAGCTCTGCGGGGCCAGGCTCACGGCCCACGGCATGTCAGAGGCAGGAGGCCGGTGTGGCTCTTTGCAGCTGGGCCTGGTTGTGCACACACACATGTGCACACTAGGGCACTAACACACGCACGTTCCTTCAGCCTGCTTGTTCTTCAGCTAGAGACAGAGAGTCACTGTGGAAAGAGCATGGGCTTGGAGTCAGACAGGGCTGGGCTTAGTGCTGCCACTCGCTAGCTGGGTGACCGGGCCAGTGACAGACTCACTGAGTCTTGGTTCCATCATCCCTCAAGAAGTGGTAATAGCACCTGCGGACTGAGCTTGCTGAAATGACGTGCCCACAGCACGTGGCGTGTGTCGACACAGATCAGGATCCATGAATGGCAGCTATTGCCGTGGCCAAGAGGGCGGCATGTGGCGGCTGAGACCACCCATGACCCCAGCTGTCTGCAGCACCAGCTCCCAGCAGCCTTTCTCCCAGGGATCTCCGCTGTGCTTTGAGTGACAGGAGAAGCCCTGGCCCTGGTGGGCCTTAGTTTCCCTGGCTGGGAAATGGGGCCGACACCTCTGCACATCGACCACACAGGGCTTGTGGCTTGGCATGCCTGCAGAGGCCGCTGCCAGCCAGGCAGCCCTCGCCAAGAGCGGATTCCGCCTGGCCCGGCCCAGCTGGCGTTCTCTCCAGTTTCCTGGGTTGGGTTGCAGGGCGATGCCACAGTTGGTGATGGTGTAATTGGGCGACTTGGGTGTCTTACTGGGTGCTGCTGCCGATGGCTCCTGCCGGTGAGCCCACATTCCACTGTCATCGAGGGCAGGAGATGGTGGAGCAGCCTCATCAGGTATTCAGGTTGCACAACCTGGTGTCTGAATGTGAGGTCCCTGAGGTTCCCAGAGGTCCACACCTCAGAGGTGTTCCCATGGGCCTCTGTTCCCGAGTCCTATGCACATAGGGTTTTCTTTGAGGCATTTAGCTGGAACTTAGAGGGCTCCCAGCAATTAATAGCTTGTAAACAGTTAATGCCCTCATAGCCACTCTGAGCCTCCGGCTTCTCAGCGCTGGCTCCCCCTCACCTCCCCTTCCCCTCTCAGCCCTTCCAGCTGCTGCCCCTTCGGCTCTTCTGCCCCTTCCTGTTCTCTACCTTCCTCCTCTGCTAGGTCTCTGTGGCATCCCTGCGGGGTCCTGCCTCTGCCTGGTCTTCTTTCTGCCTGGCCAGTGTTCTGGGCCTCGGGGGCGGAGCATGGGCTGGGCACACCCACTTCCCCACCCTCCACAGGCCTCGCTGGGAGTTGGCATGTGGTGGGGACAGGCCAAGACCCAGAGGTAGGCCAAGTCCTGGAGAGCATGGAGATATGGCCCTGGACAGGGGTGCCATGAGCAGTTGGCACCACCCCCATGGAATCCCTGGGCATGCCACCTGCCCTTGTGGCTGCAGCAGGAGAGGCAATAGCAACTACAGCTCTGCGTCTGCCCCCAGGTGGGCTCCTCAGACCCAGGTCCCTCCTTCCTTGCCTTCAGCCCTAGATTGGGGTGGTCAGCTGTCCTGGGCTGAGGGCCCAGGGTGCGCCAGTCCCAGCCAGGCAGGTGAGGCTCCGGTTTTCCTGGAGGGACCAACACACAAGCTTCAAGATGACAAACTAAGCCCCTTTGCGACAGAGCACTCCGGGCCCAGGCCTCCCTGCGGGCTTTGCGTCCTAGGGTAAGAGGCTTGACCTCTCCAGGGACTATGATGGTGCTGGTAGCTCAGCAGGGGCAGGGAAAGAGCTGCAGAGAGCTGGCCAGCACCTGCTCTGGATGCAGGAGAGGAGGACCCTGCAGGGCAGTAGCCAGTAGGCTCCCAGCAGGGCAGTCCTGGCCAGAGGTGATCCTGCACTGCCCTCTGGGGGATGGCCCACAGGAGGAGGCGGCGCCTGCCTCCCACACACTGGCTGGGCTCACACAGTCACTTCTGAGACCTTCCCACCAGGAAGGCTCCTGGCACGCCCTTGACCTTGGCTCCTGGATGACCCTGGGGACAGGGTTTGTGCTCGCTCAGAGCCTTGCCTGCACACTGCTTCAACCCCCAGCCACTGGGGCCAGCAAGAGACCGTTACTGACATCTTACATAGGAGGATGCTGAGGCTCAGCTGTTCCCTTCCAGGGACCCAGCCGAACTCCTTGCCAGGGAGCCTCTTACTCCTGCAGCCCCCAGCCTCCCTGCCTCGCCTCAGCTCTGCCCCTGCACACACCCCACTCCCTGTCTTCTCCACGTTGGGTCCTCATCTGACAGTCCCACCCCTGGTTAAATGCAGCTTCTCGCCCATTCCATGGCACAGCCTTGTGGCACAAATGTGACCATGGCCCAGCAACCCACAGCCCATGTCCTACTGTGACCCTGCTGCCCCCCTGCTGCCCTCTCCCTCAACTCAGGGCTTTCTTCCCTGTCTCTGGAAACCACAGCACCCAGAGCCTCTGCTCCAGACCCGCAGCTCCTCTTGGGCCCTCTGAGCCCCTTAGGGCTCTGGACCCACCCTCCATCAATTGTCCCCAGCCTCCACCACAGCCAGTGCACCTGCCCCGGCTCTTACCACCAGCGGTGACGTCTCCCATCTTAAACCTGGCTTCTGGCCCAACCTTCCCTCTGGCCACCTCCCCGTTTCTTTGTTCCCTTTGAAAGCAGAGCCCTTGAGTTCATCTGTTGCTCTCTG